GATTTTATATTTTTTTTTTTTTTTTTTTTTTTTTGGTACCAATACTGGGGATGAAACTCCGAACCTTGTGCTTGCAAGGCAGGTGTGGTGCCACTGAGCTAAATCCCTAGTAAAACTAATTCGTAAAGGAAATGAATTTCCTTGGTGAGGGTTGTGAAGAACACTTACCTAATAGGATTTTTTTTTCAAACTACAATTACTTTTCCCTCTTCCCTCCCTCCTAACCAAGACTCTAATATGCCTCCTGTTGAAGATTGTTGCCATAGTGTGTCACTGTTCCTTAATGTGACTATGTCCTATTTTTTTTTTTTACAGGAAACACAAATTTGAAAACTTCTGCAGAACATCTTATATTAATATTTCCAGGAAAAAAAAAAAAGAATTTACCCTAATGTCTTCTTGAAAAGACTGCTTTTTCAAACATGTGGGGAGAAAAAAACCATAGGGTACTTAAACACCCAAAGACTAACAATATTAAAGCTGTTAATGCTATTGTGAAAGGACAAGGAATGAAAACACAATTACCAAGCTCATGAAAGCTGAATTCATGGATGGGCTATATCATGCAGACATACAGCCACTATGATCCACACAATATTCAAATAGGGAGAAAGTGGGAAAAACTCTCCCCCTACCCCTTATCCTCCCAATGGCTCCCAATGGCTGACCTTTAGCAGAAACCAACATACAACAAAGGATCCTGGGATGCATCACAATGTTGGACAATTCAGCCATGCAGAGCACAGAAGAGCAAGGGGAGGGCCAGAGGACATGGAAGGGAAGACAGAGTATAACCAGCACTCATAATCCATAGAAGATATTTACAAAGAACAATTAGAACAATGTATACAGAAAGGAAGTAAGGCTAAATTATAAAGTCCGGAATACCTAGCAAATTAGACAACTGGTAGAACATGGAATATCCATCTAGAAAGGTAAAATCAGATCAGACTGTAAAGCAGAAATCAGCAAACTAGGGCCCACACATCATATCTAATTTGCCATTTACTTTTATAAACATTGGCTAGAACAAAACCATATCCATTCATTTATGAATTATCTGTGGCTGTTTCCAAGCTACAGCAGCAGAACTAAATGGTATAACTGAGTAGCTGCAACAGAGTCAGTGTGGCCCAGAAAGTCAAAAACATCTATATTCTGACTGTTCACAGAAACATTTATCTGATTTCTATTGAAAAAAAAACAAACTTAGAATTACATATGAAAAGCCTGATAATTTCTACAAGGAATGGATAAACTATTACCTTAATAAGCTGTGAAAGTCAGGCTCTGAAGGAAACTAAAGCAACTATGAAAAAAGCAGCCATTCATACCCCTAAATATTTTAGAAACTAATATTCATCCACTCACTCTAAAGGAACTATATGGCAATGGAACTTTACGCTAATCAAATAATGTATGCCAAGAGGACTAATTTCAAATGTTCTTACATCTGTAACTTCCCAAGTATTTACCTCGCTATTTTAAAAATGCAAATAAATCATTCATTAATATTTAAATATCTACCTTCAGTGTTTTCTTCCAGAATATCATCCAACATTTGTTTCTTACATTGATTTTGTTAAAAACTAAGCTTAAATGCCTGTAATGCACTGCTTTTTAGAACATCAGTTTTACAAGATGTACATAGTTGCAGGAACAGACAGTCGTGATGGCTGCATGATACTATACTTAAAAATGGTTAAGATGCTAAGTTTTATGTTTCTATATTTTACTACAGTAAAAAATAGAAAAAAAAAGCTAAATGATCAACATTGGGAAAAGAACTGAAATTACTGTATAGAATATAAAATCCAGGCCGGGGATTTAGCTCAGTGGTTCCACTGCCTGCTTCACAAGCACAAAGTACCAAGTTCGATCCCCGGTGCCCTCCCCGACAAAAAAACGCACAGAATATAAAATGCAGCCAATGAAGAAATGGAAATGTACAAATGTGGGAAAAATATTAACAGATATGCTAAGCAAAAATAGTAGGTAAATAGTATGGAAACTATGAACACACTTGCAAAAAGATATACAAGGTGATATGCAAAAATGATAGCATTCAAAGTCGAGATTTTAGGTAATTTGTTTCTTAACAATATTCATTTCTGAGTATCCT